AGGAAGTTTTTACTACATTTTTATTTACTTTACTTCCTATTGCTGACTAATCTAGATAAGGAACAGGCAGAATAGCCAGGTTCTCACATTTTTTTTTAAAGAAGCACAGAGGACGTGCACTCTATATGTGTCACATTGTGAAAGGAAACATCCCATAAACCAGGGCATATAACTAAAAGAGTGATTGAGCTAATGACCACAGTTTTCTGTATTTCAGGTTAAAACCTGTGGTGAGGGAAAGAATAACCATCTCTCAGGCTTCCTTCAAGGCACTGAAAAGCTTCTCATGTTTTGAAACAGACTCAACCAGACAAAGCCACCTACGAGATCTGATCTCCCCAGAGCAGAGCACAAATTAGCCTTTCAACACAAGTTAGTTTTTCGACTGAGTTGAGATTTTATTCTTCCAACTGAACCCCTTGCATTGCAAGTGGGAGCACGTTGTCTTATCCCACATAGAATCAAAAATATGAAAGGCAGAATTGCAAGTAAGCAGGAATTTTGCCTCAAACATTTTGATGTTTAAGAGAAACAGTCAGTTTTGGACCCCTGAAATATAGCTATCCATAGCATTGACCATATAATGCCAGTCAGTACTGGTACTTATTTATGCTGGTCACGTGTATGAAAAGACAGAGATAAGCAGTTAAAAAGAAAAACAAAAGACATCAGGAAAATTATTGCAGTCTTACATAGCAAACTAATTAGAATATCATTAATATAATGGTGTGGTTAAAATTCAGATAGTCAGGTGATTTTGGCCTAATTTTCATTTTTGCATCTGTTACTAGCAGTCATGTTTCTTTCTTGATTGCTTAAGCTTTTTAAAATAACTTAATTTTAAAATTTATCAGTTCTCTTTCTAGCTATATTACTTGAAATCATGTTTTTTTAGTGTGATCTAGTCCATATTGGAAATGATCCCACAGTTTTAACGTACAGTTTATCAACCACAGTGCACAGTCAGGCCTCTCAGAGGGAAGGGAATTCCAACCACATATCTAATGATAATGGTACTAATGTCAGAGCAGGATATTAACAGAGAGCTGTGCAAGAAAACAGTGCAGAAACCCTTTTAAAAGGCTCTGTTAGTAAATTCCCCAGTATTCAAGAAACTCAGAGTGAGAAGTAGTACTGCAAGTTTCTTTCATACAGACAGGGATTTTCAAAAGAAATCTTAAATAACTCTTAATACTCTTCTCATTAAAAACATTATTCTCAAAGTCCTTCACAGGGGATTCAGCAACATTTAAAAATCAAAACTTCTTTGCATTAAAGTAACATCTGTCTCTAATCTCCTTTTGACACTGCAATCTAAATTTAAGGGGCAAAAAATGTGAGAAAGGACAGTAAAAACAAACACAAATGCCTGATAAGGAAAAAAGATGAAGAGCAGAGAAAAGAATGTGGAACCTAGAGAAAGAATGGTATTAAAGATTTAACATCTTAAATGACTCAGAAGATGTCAGTGTCAAAACCAGTAGTATCTCCTGTTGCCCTGAGAATTAAACTTCCTGATCTTTTATTCATAATTTCTAGCCACTTTCCCAGGAAAGTAACTATAAACATAGATGTTTATACATTCCATTAAAGAAATGTCTTTTGATGGTCATCTCTCACAACCAGTGTGATTGGGAAGATGGTAACCTAACTATCCAATCCCTGGTCATTGTCAAGAATCTATAAATACTGGAGTCACAGAAATAAATTTCTTCTTTTTCCCTATCATACATTGAGCCATGTCCATGTGAATCATTTTGTGTCCTACAGTGACAATCTCCCAAATACAAACAGGAAAGGATTTATTAAAAAAAAAAAACAACAAAACAAGCCAGCAACCATTTCCAATTTTTCCTTCCTGCTTAAAAGTTTTTCTCCACCTTAAACTGTTTTGAAACATAATTCACTGATTTTAGAGTTAGGAATAACCACTTTAAAACTGATGTGTTCACTGCACATTAATTCTTTGTCCATCTGAAAAAGAGAAGATCACAAGGTGTTAGACTATACCTCCACAACTTCACAGGTAAGGTGAGAATACTAACAGCACTGAAGAGACAAGTTGGAATGCAGAGAGAAAAAAATTGTTATACATAAACATTGTGTACCCAAACACATATATTTCATATTTTTCTATGTAGAGTCTAAGATGATGGCTAAAGTCAAGAAGATCCTGAATGATAAGGAGTTTGGCTAAACCCCTCTTCTGACAATCTTAAACTCCATTAACACTGCATATACTACACTGCTAAATTTACACATGAACCCTTCTGAAAGGATATTTTGATGCTTTTTGATGTAAAAAACCTGCTCTCCAGGAAACAACAGTCTGCAGAAAGAAACAGAATGTACGACATTCATATCCATTTTGACCAAAAACTGGGGACTAAGGAGTCTGGAAAACATTGCTTCACGATTGTTCTTATACAATGTATTGTGTTACAAAACTAAAGAATCTCAGTATAATGTTGCTGGCTACAGAAACAGTCACATGCTTCTATAAAATGGACAAATCTTGTTTATCAGTAAGTCCAGCTGTCAGTTCTAGATTTTTTTTCCTGACCTAATCTAACACTGCCTAGTAAATGAAAGAAGAAAGAGGTTGGTTTTTGGATAGTAATGACAGGAAAGGTTATTTTGTCATTTGAACAAAAAGGATTTCCAGAAGTCAAAAGGCAGAATAATTTTAAAGGTGCTTGAGCAGTAAAATATTTTTTGCAGACAGTACACAATTTATCCAATATCCAACACCTAGGCACAATGTCATTTATTTGTACCATCACAAACGGTGATAACTAATAATAATTCTATGTCCTATATAGAAGGACATAGTGTAAATTTAAGATGAGATACAATGGCACAAAGGAAAACAAAGTTCAGTGTTCCTTCTCTGCATTTCAGCTGTCTTCCTCCCAGTTTTGGCTTACAGTGAAGCACACTTCAGTCTACCAAAATAGAATTTTCTTAAATCAGCATTAATGCTAAAGTAGTAATATATTTAGAATTTTTAGGTAGTTTTCTATAAGTAGTTGTGTTACTTAAATTAAAGTTTTGTATGAAAAACAGAGCATTTAAGTTTGAGAGGCTCTTTTATAAAATTTTATAATATTCAGACCATATTTTGCTGTATCTTTTATGAATCTTCTTACTTTGTTTAATTGTTTCAGCCCTTAGTATAACTCAGTTCCAAATCATCTGCTTCACTGGCAAAGATGACTTGATCATTCAGAGTCCATGAAAATACCTTTCACATTTGTTGCATAATCCAAAATAAAATCTCGAATCAAAAAATTTTCAAACTTACTCATCTTTAATGTCTCTCTAGGCAAATGTCTACTGTCTGGGACATAATATTATATAGACTGGAAAAAAATATTGACTACATTACTTACCTAAAGGATTTACAGTCAAAAACCAAAATGGCAATTTATAATGCCTTTATAAAATATAATATTGTAGTGCTGCTTTTCTTTTCAGCTGAGTGTATTTTCCTCATTGCACCTTTGCACAGAGCAAATTAAAAGGCAAAATATTCCATGTGAGATTGCTGTAATTGGCAGACACCATCCCCACCCCCAAATACAAAACTGAAACAAGGGGAGCAATTCAGTCAAACACACACTTGTTCAGGAATTTGAAGGAAGCCTTCTCTTAAGGCTTTCACATTACCAAATCTGCTTACTGGAAGCTCTTAAAGACAAGATGAGCAGCACTCAGATTCCACCACAGTAAAAGACCCCAAGGCACGATTTTATAGTTCCCATTGCTGCAGGAGCCAAGGAGTCAGCTTAGAAGCTTTCTGCAGCACGCCACAGAGAGCATCACCCTTTCTGCTCTACTTTTTCATTCTGAGGAGGAAGGTGAAGTGTTATGGGGGATGAAATCTCCTCAGCTCTTGGAAGAAAGCCATTCAGTTTACTGTTCATCTAGCTGGTGAGATGAACTTCCATATTGGAAGCTGCAAAAGGCCTGGAATTAGCCTGTCACCTTAAAAAGTCATACGTATTTCTTTCAGTGTCTGCCTTCCTCATTAAAAAAAAGGGGCTTGCTGTGCTACCCACAGAGAAAACTGCAAACTCACAGCTGACAGCAGAATTCAGATGAGGGCATAAAGAAATAAAGAAATCAAAACTATGAGAGCATGCAGGAAGAATTAAAAAAAAAGGAATGTGAAGGATTGTACATATGTGATAGTACACAGCCATGTCAACATCACAGCTGATATCTCTGACTTTGCCCAAAGGGCACTAAGTAATTATGGCTTAATTACTATCTTTTTATATACAGTCCTGAGCTGAAAAACTAGTAAGTGCTATAAATATAATCTAAAACAGTTCTTGTCACCCCCTAGAACACCAATAATCCGTTTCTAGGATCCACTGGGCCTTAATCTCCAAGGCCTGGCTCCTGGTTAAGGGTGAAAACTCTTCTGTGGCAGTGAGGATCTCAAGTCTACCATAATTCATCTGTGCATTAGCATAGACCTTTAGTATTCTGTGTCCCTTTACTAAAAAAAAAACAACCTAAAAATAGTGGTGAGAAGGAAAGGGAAAGGCAAAAGTACATTAGCAGTATTTGCTAATAAAAATTTGCAAACCATCTACCAGGCAGACAGGACTTTGTCCAAAGCCCAACAACATCAATGGGCTGGGGATCAGGTCCTTATTCAGCTTTTGAAGCTAATCCATCTTTGACGTGACAACTGTATATTTAGGCTCCATGCATATCTTTGCCTCAAAGCTCTGTCCAGTCAAGTTTTGAATCTCTCCAAGGACAGAGATTCCACAACCTGTCTGGGTCCCTGTCCTAATTCAAGATGAAAAACAATAAATTCTACTATCTTAGGTAAATGGAACTGAAATATTTTTTTATTTTTTGAAAATCACATTAAAGCTGTCATAGAAAAGAAACTTAGGTTTGGCTATGTCAAAATGGACATAGTGCTGAAATCTTTTGGCTTTTACACAAATGTGACAGTGGCTTGCAGATAAATTCCTCACCTGATCCCAGGAATAAGGAGTATGCGTTTGTCTGAGCACACTGCTAGGAGAATCTTCATTGCATTTAAGTGGAGCAATATTTCACAAGCCATGATATCAAAGAAAGTAATATCGGCAAGAGCTGCTGAAGCCATCAGGAAAACTTCACCTGATGAGGCTTCTTGGCACAGTTCTAGGAATGCAGAAAATAAGCTGAGTAAAAGTCATTCTCTCATTGCAGCATTTAAAGGCAATATTTAAGCATCTGCAACTTGCAATAGTGATCTTATTAGCCAATATCAAATTCATAAACATGGAGATAAAAAAAGGAAACAAAAAATATAAACTTAATTTTATCAATTATGTAACATCATAGAATGGTTTAGGGTGGAAAAGACTTTTAAGATCATTGGCTCTAACCAAATGCAGCACTGCCAAGCCCACCACTAAACCATGTGCCCAACTCAACACAGCTTTTAAATACCTGCAGGGATGGCGACTCAAGCACTTCCCTGGGCAGAATTTTCCAGCACGTAAGAACCCTTTCCATTAAGTAGTTTTTCCTAATATCCAGTTTAAAATTCACCTGGCAAAACTTGAGATCATTTACTCTTGTTCTATACGTGGAAGAAGAGACCAACATACAACTTCTAATAAATTACATGCTCTACCTAGTACACCATTCTACTGGGAATATTTCACTGCATGTTATGGATGCTAACTGTGAAGCAGGGAGCATAGTGCCTGTGGAATAGCAGGCCACATAACTTTCTCAGTCTTGCCTGGGAAAGTGGCCTGGGAATTCATGAGGAAGAATTAAAAAAATCCTCAGAGATAGAAAACAGCCTTGCAGGTGCTGTTTGTCTGTTCCTTGTTTTCTTGCAAGAGAAGGTCGAGGGGTGGTGAACCCCACTGACCAATGATGGTGATGTGTTAGTTTACTAACCAATAAGAGTTTTCTTTTCTGTACTTTCACGTATCGGTCTATAAAAAAGACCTGAAGCAATAAACTGGAAGAAAATTCTCCTGATCGACTCCCAAGAGAGTCTGTTGTTCTTCTCGCCGTTCCCAATAGAGCAACAGCATGTTGTTCAAAATAAAGCTTGATATAACTAAATAAAATTGAATATAAGAGGCAGAAAGCTAACAGTAAATGATCTGTATGAGAATAATTCTATTATACATCTTCTTCTTTACAACAAGGCACATACACATGTTGCTGATCTCTAAATCTAATTCCCTGTAGTCAATAATCATGCTGCATATTCAAAAAGAAGTGCTGAAGAGACAACAACTTTTTAATCCCTTGTGCATATGTACTTTAACTAAGATGTGAATCACCTGGAAATGGGACTTCTGCATGGTTTAAAAATTAAACATATTACTGCAATTCAATTACTGAGTTATAAATATTACAAAGAAACTGGTGTGTGATTACTGAAATAGCTTTTTCAAAGTTATACATGTTCTATTTTTAATGCTTACATTTCTTGGGCAGAATATATACCACTAAAATTCCTGTGGAACTTAAACAGCAAGAATTGAGGAAATGATTCACCAGCTAATGCCTTCTGGATAGGCTGTTCAGATTGGCACTTGACTGTGGTACCTTCTAATAATCATTTCATAATCTGAAAAAAATCAGGTCAGATGCCACTGTCTACAACAGAACCAAGCTCAGCAAAAGTTAATTCTACCTGCTGGGTTCACAGCACAAGCATCTCCATTTTTTGCTGGACATCAGGAATAAATTGTTCCCTTGATTTCTGCATCACTAGTTCTATTTGGGCCTTTTGAAGAATGCCTAAGTACATCTCAGGTAATACCCAGTCACCACAGAATCCTCACATCATCGTACTACTCTTTTTTCCATCTTAAAAACAAACAAACAACAAAATAACCACAAAAACCACACAAAATCATGCATTCAAATGGAAGTGCTTAACCACTGGGCTCACTAGAAAAATTTCCAAATGTATTGATCTATTACACATGAGAAATCAAACTAGAAGACCCAAAAAGCAAACTCTGTCACAGAGCTCTGGGAAACTGAATTTCCAGACTAGAGAGAAGAGAATGCTTGAATGAAAGCTTCTGGTATTTGAGAGGGAGGGAGCACAGTGCCAGAAAGAAGATATTCCACTCTTTAGAAAGCAATGAGAAATGTCATCTTGTTTTTCTAAATTATTCTCACTGACCCAGATTAAGGAAAATCTTGCTGTTACCATTTTCTCATTTTACCACGGATCAGGGGCCTAGACAAGAAAGACAGACCTTTTATTTTCTTGTAACAATACCATAGATTATGATACTCTACTTTTCCTCTGAATTATTATACAAATGCAGATGTAGTGGTGAGCTTGAGTTCTAGCAAGTTTGGAAAATACAACAGGCATAAAGATTAGCAGCTCTCAATATTCCTCTCTTACAGACAAAAATCAGGCAAGAAGATGCTTTGCTGAGTCTTTCCTGAGGCTCTTAAGAAAGATTTTCACACAGATATTATTTTTACAAATATACATAAATTCTATTCACATGTGGCCTGGAATAAAAAATATTATGTAATTGCAGAATTCTCTGGTTCAGAATTTAAAATTGTTATTTTACTTGTTAAGAGAAATATGGTAAACATTATTTAGGAAATATTTCTAATGAAAGAGTAAATACCTGTTATTTTAAATGGACTCGGGAATCCTGTACAAAATTTACTGACAAGTGCTGTCATGATTTCTTCCTTATCTTCCAGAAAGTTTCTGGGATGCTGAGTGAACATGAGAAGTGGAGATATGATCTGGCCAATTACTGCTGCTGCTTCTGCATGAGTAGCTTCAGAATGGCTGGTATCAGTGAGGATGTCAGCCAGGCACAACCTATGGAGAAACAATAGGTAGAAGTTAGAAATACTGTAGGAAGCACCTTTGCAAACAAATATGGTTTTCCATTTGTCTTTTCTTGGCAGTGACTAAACGACTCAATTTATTTTCAAAAAAAACTTGGTGGCCTTTGTGTTGCAGGAAGTTTCAGTTTAGCAAATATAAATGAGTTCAGCATATGAGTTTATTGTCCTGCCAAAAGTCTTGCAGTTCCTTCTCCCTTAATAGTTCTCTGAAATAGATTTTGGTCCAACGAAGTCTTTTCTGACAGACATGTAAAGTTAAACATAAATTCAAGATTAAGCTCTGATAAGCAAATGTTAATAGCTAGTATACCTCATTTGGGCTCTACTAAAGACTCAAACCTGAGCGTGCACTAAGGTCTAAATAGACTCTTTTTCTGCTTCTTTTCCCTGAAATTGTCACAAAGCGAACACAGGATCAAAAAGAATACTGTTAAGATGACCCTGGCGGAGGAGTTCCTGACGAGCTTGCACAGCACTTCTGTTACACCAGGTCCACACATCCCTTGCTTATTTCAAAGGGAAATAGAAAAATGAGAAATTACTTAAGTTTATGCTTCTAGAGTGTTTGAAGTGTTCTTACACAGTTCAGGCAGATATATCATACACACACATATAGTTTTAAATTATAGGAGACCCACTGGCACAATGAAAGACAGCAACAGGGCACATTCATTGGGACCATTGTTAGCAGCAAAACACAGCAAAGGAGTGTTCTCTGTGCACAGGGGCATAATCTGTGAACTTTCAAATCTACAGCAATGTGTTTCTCCCCATATAATATAGCCCTGAATTACTTATCACGTTGACAAGCAAGTAGTTAGAACACAGGATCATTTAGGATGTAAAAGACCTCCAAGATCACCCAGTCCAGCCAATGATTGAACACCATCTTGTTATAAATGCAATGGCAAAATAGGGTTAATACAAAAAGCGATTTATTATAAAACAATTTCAATCACAAACAACGAGAGAAAAAAAACCACAATAAAATAAATCAGCGCAGTGCTGGGTGGACAGGGATCTATACCCAGAGGTACAAATTTACCCAAATCCACGAAGGAGGGTAGACTGTCCGGGGTTTTTATAGGGATTTTGTGTCCTGAGGCCAAAACTCCGAGCAGTTACTGTTCAACAAAGAGTCTAGATGGTTGGTTGAATGAATTTCCTGGAACCGTGGAACTGAATCAATAGACGACTGGGCAGAGTCCTTTCGCATGTGAAAGGTTCTGAGTGCTTCCCGATTGTATCTTCGGTTGGACTCTCAGGGTGA